CTCAAAATTTCAGAGTCAAAATTATAAAGATTATAATATTTATATTATTAACAATATGAAATCAAAAATGAATAATATATTATTAGCAATACAAAATTAAAGATAAGTTTATGAACAATATATTATTAGCAATACAATCTCAAAAATAGATTTATGAATTATAATAATAATTTCTTTATTTAATATAATATTCAATAGATTTTGTCAAATTTATATTCAGATATCTAATATTAAATAATCACTTTTATAGCACTCTTGATAATCTTGCTTAAGCTATTATAATATTAATTCAAGATCTATATAACACTTATAATAATGATACTAAAGTGATTATATAAGAAACAAAAATACTTTGTCAAAGAGAATGTAAAAAGGAGTTTGCACTTGACTACTTACTCTATATAAAATACAAACTTTGCTTATTTAAATGATTAAAACTATGTAATAACTAGCTATAAGATAATAATTAAGAATATTATTATTGAAAGACTTGTTTTAATAGATATAATACATGTTGCTTTTATACATGTTCGATTTATCAGCTATACAAATTCATATTTACTAGATTATTTAAATTCTATTAGTCTAATATTTGCTTATTTATTCACTCATTTACTTGTTCATTTACTTATTTGTTCATTCGCTCACTTGTTCATTTACTTATCTCATATAATTAGATTTTTTCAATAAAATATAAGATATTAATTCAATAATATTAAGTATGAATGATTCAGTAAAATATTCAATTAAAGTTTGTTATATAATAATACTATAAGAATATGTATAATAATAAACAGATTTAAAATATTTATATATATCAAATTGTCAAAATAATATGAAACAAAAGATAATATTAATAATAATTAATAAGTAAATAAATTAATAATATAATATAGCTATATTAATTATTATATTACTAGATTAATAACCAATAAAATTTTATAATTAGTAATTAATAATATCTTCTTTAATAATTAATTATAATTCTTGTATTATTATAAAAAATACTATTTTTATTAATTTAATATCAAAATTTTTTTAATAATTTTTTATTTCTCATATATTTTATCTAAAATTTATGATAAAAAAGATAAAATTCATTTTAGTCATTTAGAAAAAGTTTAATTTTTTTACAAGTATGATTTATTAATTTTTTTATAAATATAATACTATATAATTTTTTAATTATACCTAAGAGTATTTTAAAATATTATAGTTTTTCTAGTTTTAAAAAAATTAGATTAATATAGTTATATTATTATAAATATTTTCTAAAATTAACTATTATTAAATTAGTAAAAAATTATAAAAATTATTATTATTAATTTTAAATTTATTTTAAATATCAAGTTTATAATACTACTAGCAAATATTAAATTATTTAATTTATCTGGATAATAAGATATTGTCTGGTATTAATTTATTATAAACTAATAATTTCTTTATAATTATAATTAGTAATTATTTTTGAAAATTTAACAAATAATAACATATAATATAAATAGATTATATTTTTAAAATACATATATTTTTTTTATTATTTTATTTTATTTTTATATATAGCTTATAATATAATTTTTTCCAAATTAGTATTTAATTATTTATTTAATTATTATTTATTTTTATTTTTTATTTTAATTAATTATATAATTTTACAAGAGCTTAATTTTTTAAAGAAGTAAAAAATATTATAATCTAAATATTTTATAATATAGTTATTTTATTAATATTTAATTACTTTTATTATTTTTAATATTTTTAATAATTAAATTTATTAATTTAATTTAATTATTTATTATTTAATCTATTATATTCTTATTGGATATTATATTCTTATTGGATATTATATTCTTATTGGATAAATTTGAAATTATGTGACTTTTATATATAATATATAATTTTAACATGTAATTTCTATATATAATTTGTATATGCAAGTTATTATTTATTATTTATTAATTAATTTTATAATTTATATAATTTGCATAATTTATATAATTTGTATAATTTACATAAATATAGATTGTAAAGATAGCAAAGTTCTCAAATATATCAATATTATTTATTATAGTCAAACTTTTTTATATTTATAGTCATATTTCTTTATAATTATCTATTTTGCTTTTCTATTTATATATAAAAAATTTTTTTATAATTACATTTCTTCTATAATTATCAAATTTTACTTTTTTATGAGTGGTGACTATAAAAAGATTTGTCTATATATTATATTTATTTAACATATATAATATATCTTATATTATAATATCTTAATTATAAAAAATATTAAATATAAATATAATTGGTCTTATAATTATAAAAAAGCAAGTTGTAGTTAATTAAATTCAATATAGCAAGTTATAATCAATTAAATTGAACATATAACTTAAATAAAATAAAATATCTTTAATAAAATATTTATTATTTGATTATCTTTATTATTAATATATAAAATTTAATTAAATAATATATTATTATAATAATAATATTATTAGATACTACTGGATATTCAAACAGATTGCTATAGAATATTAGTATTATATTACTATAAAATTATCTGTATATTAAGTAAATACAAAGAAGATATTTATTAGTAGTAATATTTTATTTTATTTAATAAAATATATCACATATTGATTCTAAAATAACTAAAAATACAAATAGATAATTGGTTGAAGTTATGATTAATAATAATATTAAGAAGAATCCTAAAAATCAACATTGCAAAAGTTACTGTACTATCTTTAACTAGTATCTAATATATATTCAATATTTTACTGAAAAGAACTCATTAGAATTATTTTTAGAATATTAATACTATTAAAAATTCTAGATTCTTTCTGAATATATTTATGAATTAAATTTTGTATTTACTTTTTAGTAAGAAAGAAATACATCATATTAAAATTATTATTATTAAAAACTTGTTCTAAACTAATTCTAATAACTATAATATATATTGCTTCAAACTATAACTTAGTTAATACATGAATTCATGTTTGCTAGCTAACTTAAATTCTATTGGTTTAATTTACTTGTTCATTTATTTGTTTGCTTGTTTACTTGCTTGTCTCACATGATTAGATTCTTTCAATAAAATATGTATAAGATATTTATAATTTAATAATAATTAAATATGAAATTATCTTGAAAAATAGTTAACGAAAGTCCATATTACAACAATACATATGTGTCTTATAACTTGGAACCAAGCCATGATGTGTGCATTTATAAAGGGTGAACTTAGAGGTTTCACTGTATTAACTAATATTCGTCACTCCCCTTGCATGTGAGAGTCACTATACGTATGTATCACGAGTGTGATAAACTGTATTAGCACGCCAGGTGACCTGGTTTGAAAAATCCTAATTCCCGGACTTATTTGGCTTATCGAGTTTCACTTGTATTCCGCGCATTACAGAATACAAGTGAAACTCGATAAGCTAAATAAGTCCGGGGATTAATAAAAAATTCATTTTATAACTTTGGAGTTTTTAGTCTTAGGCTCATCAATTATCGAGTTTCACTTGTAATTGGAAAAATTGACACTTCCTTGTATTGTTATTTAAAATTTCTCGCTCCAAGTAATTTCATTTTATAAAGAACTATCACACATTTTACAATTCGACGTGATTGATAATAAATAACACATATAATTTTATGCAGTGACTTTTTTCTCAGCCTCAATTATTTTTAACATCTCACGCGCTTTACGACTCTTTGATAATTTAAACATTTCTCTAGCCTTAACACTATCAATCTGAAATCCATGTTCACCGTTCCACAGAATAGTACCATATAAAAACAATGCGTTCTTCTCAGATGCTTTTACAGCCATCTCTAAATACTTTAGACCATTTTCCCGATCATATCTTTCTTCACCCTTTAGGCATAAATCCGCATATAAATATTGAGCCATGGGAGTAACTTCACTAAATTTGCTACCTGATAAATTGTCTGCTGCTTCACGCAAGTAAATCAAAGCCTTGAATTCATCTTTGGTCACACCATGATGTCCTTCGTATAGAAGTTTGCCAGCATAATATTTAGCTAAATATGCCTCTTTAGCGTTACTTTGAGCGTATAGTTCTAATCCTTCTATTGCCACTTTGTAGTTCTTGCTAGTAAGGGATATAGTGACATCTTTCCACTCTGGCCGAGTATGTGGTTTGACAGGCTCATCATCATTGATTTGGGCTTTAAAATCAAATTTTTCTAAATAAAGAATAGTATAACTAAATCCGTCCAATATTCAAGTCAATATTAAAGTGAAATTAATAATAGCATACTACTTTCTGGAAGTGTACTCGTAGTACAAAGCTCATGCAATTCATCAGATATCGCACACATGTCGGGACGACGACGGAAAGATTCAACCCAACTACACTTCATTATATCTTCGTATTCTGGCATAATATCGTTCGGGATTGGTGATGGACGTTCGCCATTTTTAATCTTGTCAGAAACTTTAATATCATCGGCGATTTGGTGAAATGGCTCTTTTCTTGTTGCAATTTCCCACATTACTATTGCAAAACTTTAGAGAACAAATCATTAAGCTAAGAACAGTAATAATAATAAATATCATACAATACTGTTCTTACCTATATACATCCATTTCTTTAGAATAAGGAACACAGGGGTTCTTTAATTTTTCGGGCGCAGTCCATCTATTTTGGAAAAATTAAAGATTAATTTACCGCTTTTAAAGTATCATTGAAATAATTGCTTTACCTAATACTCTTTATTTGATCTGATAATGATGTTGTTTCTTCGTTAAAGCGTCGTGCCATATCAAAATTGCTAAGTTTCACATTTAAATGTTCATCTAATAAGACATTCGCACTATATTAAATAGTACGATAATATGAATAACATTGCACTTTAGCAAATAAAAAAAATAATATGATAATATAAATATCTATATAATCATCACATTTGATATATTTCTAAATATCTTTCAAGTTACCTTTTAACATCATGATGAAAAATATCAGCTTCATGGCAAAATGTGAGAGCAGCTGCGACACCTTTTGCGAACTTTAATTTTTGTTCCCATGAAATCTCTACGTCTGAACGAAGATATTTTTCGAGATCGTAATTCGCGGCCCATCTAGTCACCACATATAATTCTTTATTTTTTTCCATCAAACCTTGACTAACGAATGAACAATTCAAATGTTAAATTGTGATTATTTATTTGAAATAATATAACACGTATACTCACAAGTTCTCTATATGTTCACAAGCACTCAGTTCTTTTAAAATCATTGCTTGTCGCTCAGCTTGAGCATTATCCTTAGTCTGCACTTTATATACAGCTACCGCGACACAGTTGTACAACATTTTTTTAATTATTTTAGTTTCCCCTTTGATCTCCGTATCATCACCATTATCTTTAACTCTTGACGGATCAATATATATCCTATATCCTCTGAATTTAGCGCCTTTTGTTAACATTGCTAGTTGAGCAAGAACTTTTTTGGTATTAGAATCTATTTTTTCTACTGTATCCTTTACGCTGATAACTTTTTCGATGTTAGAATCTATTTCGTCCACTTTATCCTTCATGCAGGTAACTTTTTTGTTTGTATCAAGAGCATAATCCAACTGTAGGTCCTGAATTGCTGCATCTAATCGTTGAACCAGATCAGTATGGTATTCTACCATCTGTAAATTAATAGTAAATTAGATAATTTTAATTAGCATTTATACATGCAAAATACTAATATTGCATATATATGCTATCAAACTTACATCTTTCGATCCTAAAAAAGATTTAATTCTTCCTAAAGTTTTCTGACTAAACTCCCCTGGCCTAATTAAATCTCTAATATAATCGGAAGCTTCTTCTAAAACCTTTTTATATTCTTCATATGACTCTTGGATCGTACGACTCGCATCTTTTGTTGGTGAATTTTCCTGTATTTTTATCGTTGCCTTGTGAATTCTATTCGATAAGTCTTTACAGACTTTTTTATGACGTTGAGCTAACTCCACCATTTTTATAATTTCACTTGCTAGTTTACAAGTGACTGCTGCTAACGGTAGCATTTCACCAATAGTTTCACCAACAGTGATGGTAGCTTTAAGAGCTTTCATGGCTATTTCCCCGATATGTGACTGGTTGTTGGGTAAGCTAGTAACCTCCCTAGTAACCTCCGAAGTAACCTCCGTAGTAACCTCAGAGTTCATGCTGAAAAACTTTAAAATGTATAATAAATAAAGAAAATAATTATTACTCGAAAAAATATGGTTATTGAATTTTTTCTACATGCGAAACTTATCCGTTAATTTGTATAATAATGTTCTTTCGCCCCATCCATTAACATTAACGAAAAAGTAATGAACGTTATACATGTACACAAAGAAACCTTTTTCTAACAAACTACATGTATCATTGTTTATATAATGATTGACTAACGTAATTGGTTTTAATTAACGTATCATTTTCCAAAATTGGTTTCTTTAAAAATAACTATGGTAAATACATGTATAATGCTGTACAAAGATTGTTATGTAAAAGATTTCCATATTTGTTTTTTATCTTACGCTTTTAGTTCGAATGTTCAATTATAAAGAAAGATGTCTTTGATAGTTTGAAAACAAAAAAATACAACCAAATTATAACGAAAGAATTGTATAGGAAATTTTTTTGTTTGATTGTATGCTTTAAAGTAGTGTTCCAAGTATTAGCCGATTTAGTCAATTTTTTTAAAATTTGACTTAGTCGACTCTATACTTGGAATCAGGCGTGATCGACGTAAATAATTGGGGTGACTATAATCGTTAATTGTACAACACACAAAAGTCCAATTATAATGTGCAATAGCTCGTTAGAAAGTTGAAATCGCAAGCTTTCAAACGACGTAAAAAATTATGTCAAACCCATCCAATACTCGCAGAAATTGCCAAATTACGGATTTTGAGCGTGACGAGATAATCGGTGCTTGGAAGTGTGGTTTTTCCGAAAA